AAAAACACGAGCTTATATACACACACACACGCCAACAAGCAAATACATGGACGGATATGGAAAGAGATGATCATAAGCAGTAACACACATGTACACAGAGCAGCTTCGCACATTTGAGTGCACAAAGACATCGAGTTGTTCCGATACCAGTATTGGAAATTCCTCCGATGCTGCCTAAAATGTGGTATCGGGTATCGGTGAGTACCCGTCTGTGCCACCTAATTTATCAGCCACGAAAAAATGGCCCTGAAAGGGGACCCTGCTACTTCCCAACACTGTCCCGTTTCAGGGCCATTTTTTCCCCAGGATAGCGAAGTCGTGACCCGCCCTACTCGGACTCTGACAAAGGGTTTAACCTGAGCCAGGCCAAACAACAATAATAGCAATCATACAGGCTTAGTAGTATATGCTTGTTACATGTATGTTTTTTTGTTTTTTTCTCTTTTTTAAATAAATACATGTATCGGGTTGGTTCAAGTATGAGAATTTGTATTGGGAAGGGGAAAACACTCACACACCTACAATCAGCAGTGCCAGCTGGAGATCCCGAAGCCTTTCAACAGCCTATATATATTTCATAGCTTAGATAAATATATCTGAAATATCTCCAAAAAAAAGGATGAAGATATCTGCACGTCACCATCATAAAGGGGGGGCCCTGATGTTGATTTTCCTATTGATGGAAAACTCATCCATTTTTAACATAGTGCATTATTAATAATGTGGCACGATCCCAGAGTTGTGAACATTTTCTACACACAGGGGTGATGTCAGGTCTCAATCGGAGTTTTAAAATAAGAAGCAAACATGAAAATAAATGAGCATTGCTGTGTTTCAGCATCCCAGTGCTGATGTACTACTACAAGAGCAGACCTGAATATGATATACAGCACGGAAAAACAGTAGCCTACTTGTGAGGGCAAAAACAAAAATCCAATTTATCAATGTTTTCAGGTTATTTTGGTGAGATACTGTACGTTCCAAATTGCACCAGCGGCTGCAATTTCCACACTTGTGTTCTGAGAAGATGATGTGTCGTTTGCAAATCTGCTACATAACATTGTTTTGGCTGCAAACCTGCAATTTCCTCAGTTTGAAAACACCAAATTCAATTTAATTTTGAGTATCACTGCTGTGTGAAAGACAGATAAGCTCCTCCTGTATTCTTGTCTCTCGTCTCCTCTCCTTCCACTTGTCCTCTGTGCAATGACCATCGTCACGTCACAACTCCAAGCATCACATTTACCCTGTCCAGCGTTTCTCCTTTAATTTTCTCTAATCTTTGCACCTCTTCCTCATCTCTGACCTCAATCACGCGAGTGGCCGTAATGGTGTGAGGCTCCCGTGTGCTCAACCACCCTTTCCTCTGCTCTTCTCTCACTGATCACAGTCTGTTGATAGTCTTTCCTAACCTCTAATTTCCTCCCCTCGCCTCCGCACCACCTTTCCCACTGCTCCTAGTCTTCCTCTCCCATATTTGACCACAATCGTGTTTGCTGTTAGCCTTTGCCAGGTCTATCCACTCCTCTCATTGTCACCTCTCTTCTGCCACCTTCCTTCTAGTCCCAATCATGCCTGATGGTATCCTTCAGTAAAACTATCTTCTGCTCCATAATTGAATCTCCTGTGTTCTTCTACTTCCCTTGCTCCTCTCCTCTGACCACAATAACTTCTGTTGTTAGCCTCCTTCTAACCTCTCGAGTGGTATTTCCAGTGCTCTTGTCTCTTTTAATCCCCTCACTCAAGAATCACGTACGTTATTAGCTATGCCTAGCCTCTCTTGTGCTCTGCTCTGTCAGTGTCTGTTGCCTTCTCCCATTCTGCCTCAGGTGAGGGTGTTCTTGCCTGTTGTTAGACGCACCTTTCACTGGCACTTCTCCTGACCTCTGTGTCTCTCCTCTCCCTCAATAAGTGGCCACAGACTTGCTTGCTTGCTGCTATTAGCCACACCTGACCTCTCCTCGTCTCACTTCGTCAGTTAGCGGCTTTTCTCTCGCACTGTCCCCACCGTGTCTTAGGATGCAAGCGATTTTTTAGATGAGTCATTTGACAATGAGGACGTCACGTTTCAACTTCTCCCCTTTGAGTGGAACTGTGTCATAGAGGCAAAATGGGAAATATGTCTTGTTAGTATGGAATACATAAAAAAGGAATTTTAAGCAGTAGATGGCAAGAGACAAAGATAAGAACAGAAGAGAAAAACAACAAAATCTATAGTAAAACACAAACCGATTGAGAAACTACCTAAAAACCACAACAGACAAGAAGCTATAGTCATTACAACACTGTGACAAAAATAGCACCTCAAGGATCAAAGCTTATCGCTCTGCTGGGTTTCAGTGATTATTGCACACATCAATCTATATATGAAAAGAGCAGGTGATTGCAGGAATAACTGATTTCAAGACAGTACAGTAGGCTAATGTCACATTCATACCCAATCACACAGATGAGCAGCAGAGTGCGGAAAACGTCAAGATACATTAGCAATTTCTGACAGCTACGATAACTACTACTTGGCGAAAAGAATTACAAAAGGTGTCAACATCCCTGTGGAAAACTGGGCGAAACTCCGACTGGCTGTTACAACTAAATCGAATCGAATATCAGCTCTATTTCACTTAACACTGTAAACAAACTCTGCTTTAACATTAATTAACATAAGCTTAATTTACATGCAACTGATGTGACTACAAGCTAGCACCAGGCTTACCCATCATGGAATAGAAAAGTGTGAATGTTCCAGAGTTGAAAAGGAGGTTTTCACATTCTTTCTAGCGTGCGTATATGAAATGAATGCAGCATAACCCCACTCAGTTTTTAACATGTACGGAGCACGCAGCGCATGTGCCTAATGACAATAAAAGCATATAGCGAATCAGGCTATAATACAGAGCAGTAAACAAACTCACTAATGTATGGATCATTGATGGACAGATGACTAAGTTGATGTTGAAGTTTCCTCATGTTATTCCTGTACTGCATACATACTGCACTGTAGCCTGGAGGCACATTTTTTTTCTGCCCTGCTTATCATCAAGATGCACTTTAAAATACAGTGTGTATGTGTGTGTGTGTGTGTGTGTGTGTGTGTGTAGCACTTGTGTGTGGGTTTCTAGCATACAGATTAAAGTGTGCAGCTGCTGTCAGGTAGCATGTTGGTCCATCGCTACATTAAAAGAAATGTCAATGTTTCTCAGATGGCCATTAGCTGTGGGGGAGGGAAATGTAGTTTGAAGGATGTTCGCCCCCTACTGGTGGTGGCAGCTTTTGTGTGTGGTCATGTGTGTGTGCATGTGTGTGTGCATGTGTGTGTGCATGTGTGTGTGCATGTGTGTAGAGAAGGATCTGGCTGGGATGTGTGTGTAACAGCCAATGCTGACGAAAGAGGCAGAAAATAAACACGGGGCTCATGGGGAGTATTGTAATCCCAACTTCCTGTCACAGTCAGCGCCTATTTACAGCCCAACAATGGGCAAGGCACAGCCTGTTCACGCACACACAAACGGATTGGTTTACTTTATTTTTCAGTGTTGACATTTGTGTGTGTGTGTGTGGAGTGACTGAAATAAATGGTTGTGTTTATACACATATCATATTATAGGGCAATACAAAAAACTTGTGCATAGCGGAAAACGCCGTCATCGCTAAAAGTCAAACGGGGCAACAAATGAGCGGTCAGACAACTGTATAGTCTGTAAACAAAGCAAAACTTATTTAAAACCTGAATGATAGTCTGACCACTCATCCATGGTCCCCTGTTGGACCTATTTTTAGCGACATTGCCATGTTTTGGGATCTTAGCAATTACTTGATGGGTACAATGTAATCATATCCCAACCGATGGACAGAGTTATGAGCAACTTTTTAAATTAGAGTTGTAATAAACAGTAGTTTCCCTTTGAGTTATAACTTTTCCACGGTTTTATTTTGTATTACTTTGTATTTTATTAAGTTCTTGTATGTTTGTACTACTGTAGTTTGTTTTGTTTTGTTAAATGAACAAGTGGAAAGATTTAGTGGGATGAAAGCTTTTTTTATAATAATCAAAGGAAGTAAGAAATCAAAAACTCAGTTATTTTATTAGTATAAGAAGAGCATGTCAAATAACACAATAATAATAATGATGATAACAGTATTTCCCTGTAAACAGCTTTAAAACTTCTGGTTAAAGTGCTGTTTAGAAATGTTCATTCCTGCATTCTGGTGCGTCTCACTCTCTCTCTCTCTCTCTTTCTCTCTTTCTCTCTCTGCTTTGATCATATTGTTTTGGACCACAGCAGGTCTGTGTAATCGCAGCCTTAATCCCTGGCCTAGAATCACACACAGTAACAACTGAGTAGATAGAAAGCCTTCCCTCTGATTCCCTGAAGGCTTTGCCTAAATCCATACTTGCATTGATTGTTCAATCTACTCTTTTGGTTAAACAGGGAGCAGGATAAAGCTGAATCTCCTGGATGATACGTTCTGGGGGTGTGTGGGAGCACCCATGTGTTTGAGTACGCCTGAATGAGATGGCAGTTATCGAGTCAGGATATGGGAGAGGTGTGTGTGTGTGTG